TGATGTGAATGCGTAACATAAAATTAGAACAACACTAAAAGTAGCAGGTAAACTTCAAGAGGCAACATATAGGTTAAAAACAAGTTTTGGAAATTATGGGTCAGGTAAGCAGGTATCAAGATTCTAAGAAAGGCTGAAATGCACAGGATGTGACTCATCTTTGGTGCAAAAAAGTCCTTTGGTTAAAAGCAAGATGGGAAATTACATGGCCTTGTAGGCAACTGTAACTAAAACAAGATATGTGGAAATTACGAATCGTAACTCATTTATCGCACATAGATTCTAAACTGAAGAGCTTTGATTAGCGTAATCCCGCTCTTGCAAGATAGGTAACCCGCCCCTGGTTTCGGGGTTTCGAGCCTACAGTTGAATGTCGAAGACAATCACGGAATTAAGTGTCGTAACTCCATTTTGACTACAGTTTTTACCACCCCCGTGACTGCTTCATTCACGGAGAAAATTGTTAGTTACAAACAACAAGTCAGTACATACATCAAACGAATCGGTAATTTCCACATTAAAATAAAATGCAAACTTAATATGAATGTAACTTCAGGGACAAGACCAAGTAATCAACATCAGTAAACATAAATTAAGCTAGCATTACACCAAAAACGTAAACAATTACAAACAATAGTATAACGGTATCACACATGTGATTCTACATTGCGGTTAAACCAAGTAAATTTCAAAAACAAAGATTCAAACACACAAAAAATATAAAATGCGGATACAAAACACAAATACGATATAAAGAAATGCAAAAATTACGAGAATTACTACCTGCAATAAATAACACAAAATAGCAACACACATTTATGGAGCGACGCGTTGACGACCGCCATTCAACACAGGATGCCAAACGTAACCCCCGTTCGTGCTTTTCTAGATGGCGCAGGCAGCTTTTCCCCACCTAGAAATTGCATGGTTGAAAAAAGCTCAGACATGATTCAGTGCCGGCGATTCTCCCCCGTAAGCACGCATTCCACTCCGCACGTCTGTCGCAGGATAACTGGGAAACTCGCAGGATCTCATTTTACTTCCCTACCGAGCAAGTGTAGGCGGAATGATAAGGGTAGTGGGAGGATATCGTTATTCCTCAGCATCTGATCTTTACCGGCCGTGAACCTCGCTCGCCCGCACGCCCTCGTTCGTGTTTTATTTTTTTCGAGGGGGTGCGTGTGTGCACCCTTGCACGAAATTACTCGCGTCGTCGGGTCTATTGCGTCGCGCGCGATTACAGTTTTCGTCCCGGTTCCAGGCGGCGGGCGATCGCGAGCGCGCGGGAGG